AGGAGACTAATTTTTCGGTCGTTAAGAGCCAGGCCGACTCCTTTGTTCACTTGATGGTTCTTGAATAGCATTCCTGCAGGGGGGGGGGAGGGGGAAAAAAGGGGAAAGGGAAAGAAAAATTCCTTTCTAAAATCAGAACTATGACACATGGTAAGGTTTTGTGTTGAAGTTATCAAGAGTCCAAGGAATAATGTTGGAGTCTGCCAGTCCATGGTAGTGGGTTCCTTCAGGAATTCTCTTGGGGGTTCTTTGGAGTTTTCTTGACCCAGGAGTAGTGGATCCAAGCAGGTCGTTCCTTAATCTGGATCGCTGTGAAGGTGGTCAGTAGCACCTGGAGTGGTCCTTCCCACTTTTCCTGCAGAGGTTTTCCTAAAAGATTCTGAACATATACTAATCACCGGGATGGAAAGAATGTAATTTACAGTCAGGTTGTTTGTCTATTACCACTGTGGCATTTTTATTAAAATGTTTTCCCACTGTTATTACATCATTTAGTAGGATTTTGGTTACCTCTCTCTCTTTATTTGTCCTGCATGGGAATGCTTCAGACCACCCAGAAAATGTGTCTGTTAAAACAAGAAGGTATCTATACCCCGCCTTTTCTTGGAAGTTCAGAGAAATCAATTTGCCCCACTTCTCCAGGGAATTTTTCCCTGTTAATTGCCCCTTGATGTATTTTAGTCCCTGTGTTAGGGTTATTCTTCTGGAAGCACTAATTGTCCTGTCTCTAACTGTCCCCACCCGTTATCTAGTATCTTACATTTGTTTCTTTGCATTCATCTGTGGTCTGAGTCCTGATATTCTGGTTGAAAATTAGTATCTATTTCCTCTGGAACTAAGGTTGATATAATTGCCTCATCAGTTCTTGCAGTAGCTAATTTAGCTTTTGCATCAGCTCTCTGGTTACCTATTTCTGGAACGGTGTTACCTTTCAGGTGTCCCTTGTAGTGCATTATGGCCACTTGTTTTGGGAGTTGGATGGCTTCCAACAACTGTAGGATTTCCTCAGCATGTTTTATAGCTTTTCCTTGGGTCATCAACCGTCTTCTTTTCTTCCAGATTGCTCCATGTGCATGTACAACGGAGAAAGCATATTTAAAATCTGTCCAAATGTTAATTCATTGTCCCTCTGCTAGTTTAAGAGTTCGGGTCAGAGCTATAAGCTCTGCTTTTTGCGCTGTGGTTCCTGCAGGCAGAGGGTTTGATTCGATTACCTGTTCTGTTGTGGTTATTGCATAACCTGCCAGTGTCTCTCCATGTTTCATAAAGCTGCTGCCGTCTGTGAATCAGTCTTCTGCGTCTTCAAGCGGCTCCTCCTGTAAGGTCTGGGCGGCTGGAATACACAGCTTCGATGGTTTCCAGGCAGTCATGCTCGATGGGCTCTGCTGACATTCTTCATTCTAGGAATGAAGCTGGGTTGACAACGTTAGTCACCCGAATGGTTATATCATCTGATTCGGCTAGGATTGCCTGATATTTCCGGAACCTGAAAGGTGACAGCCAATGGCCACCCTTCTGCTCCAACACTGCTGACACAGTATGGGATACTAGAACAGTCATTTTTTGGCCCATTGTAAGTTTTCTGGCTTCTTCTATGTTCATTATCACCGCAGCTATCCATTCAGTCTTAAGAAATTTAATAATGAAATTGTCCATTTTATACATTTTTTCCTCAGTTTCAGTTGCTATGAGTAAATCATCTGCATATTGTAGAAGAACGCCCTCTCCCTGTGGCCGTTCCCTTTGTTCCAGTTCTAACTGGTTTTGCTCCTGATTTTAATTCTATAACTACTGGGGTAGCTTGCTTTGATTTCCAGGGATATCTGTGGCCCACACTAATGGGTAAGCTTCACTCATAATTTGTTCTGACTGTCAGGCTTAGGGTTTACTTGAAATTCAAGTTTGCTTTTATCAAATTTTATTACAGCTCCCAGATTTTCTAGCAAGTCTCTGCCTAGAAGGGGCTTTGGAGAATTAGGCAAATATAAGAATTGGTGAATTCCCATTTGTTTTCCAATTTTATATTTTAGGGGTTTCAAAAAGAAAGCTTTTTCTGATTGGCCTGTAGCTCCCATCACTTGAATAAATTCATCACTTTTTGGCACTAATTCCTGATTTAAAATTGAAAATGTAGCTCCAGTGTCAATTAAAAGTCCATTTCTTTTTCATTTTCCCCTAGCTCCAATTTAACCAGTGAGTTTGCTCAGGGCAAGCCTGCCAGCCCCCCCTCACTCAGTACCCTGTAAGCAACAACAGCCCCTCCTGTGCCTGTATCTCTACCTGTTAATTCAGGGCATTCTACAACATGCACACTGGTTCTGACCCAACCTTGTTTGTCAGGGAGGTAAACTTTACATCTGTTACACAAGGCTTGTACCAACAATTACAAAAAAAACAATTCTAGGTCTTATTCAATGTGGTGTGCTTATAGTTAACTGTTCAGGACTACTTCCCATATAGCAATTCTTGGCATGATAAGACCTTTAACTATGTGTACCTGGATGCTTCAAGGTAAGCAAGGTATATCAGTTGTTCCAAAAACAAACAACACAAAATGATAATAAACACACACATAAAACTATTAACACAATAACAACATCCTAAACCCCAGTTCATAAGGTGGTTTGGTTTGTCAATTGTTCAAAACTGCCCTCCATATAATAACTCAAACCTAAAAATAACCTCTTAATGAGATGTTTACTTTGTTGGCCACAGACTGTGAAATGTCAGAACCCAGTTTTTGTTATATTCACGAGACGCAAACTACATATAACAAAAGACAGTGTAATACTAAATAAATTCAGCACGATAACTACATATAAGACAAGACAATACAACACGTGTCAGGCCCAGAATCCTTATCTAAACCAGAAACCAGAAGGAAACTATGGGGATAGTCTCCAAACAGAAGGAAACTGATTTCTCAGTTCTCTCAAACAGATATTCAGCTAAACCAGAAACCCGAAGGAAACTATGGGGGTAGTCTCCAAACAGAAGGAAACCGGATTTCTCAGTTCTTCCAAACAGATATTCAGCCAAGTGTTTAGCTAAATACGACTGTACAGACCAAAGAAGCGCCCTTCTTATGGCGTGTTCTACATGATAACAGCAGCGTCCTGCCCATGTGATAGAACACCTTATTACAGACACCAGTGCATGCAAGTTAGAACCGGAATAAATACCTTTGATCATGGGAACTTTATCCACCCCTGTGAGAAGCCAACAAAGACAGGAGCCCCCCTTTATAGGTAAAAGCTTACCTTTAACGCGCCTGGTTAGGTCAGAATGAGTATTTTATACAGGTTTGGCAATGATTACAACATAACTACATACATATTCATATTATTGCATCATTAGATTACAATATTCATAGCAGGTGGAGTCAGGGCAGAGTTTGAGGCGTGGTCTTTATTTTGAGGAATATTTTGGTGGGAGTTCCTGTTTGCCTTCATCCTGGGGTCTGCAAATCTACTCCTCTTCATCGGGTGACTTTCGTGACCTTTCATTCTTTCCATTGTTTTGTGTTCTGATGGTCCAGGCTTGAAGAAACCCTTCGCTTCAGGCCTACTTCACCTATTCAAATGTCTACCTTGGCTCCTTTGGCTAAGATTTATTACCTCTGTGCTCTTTGTACAATGTACCTGTGGCTTATGTCTACAGAATTTGTACAGAACAAAATCTCCTTAGAGTAAGGTAGAAAAAGGGGGGGGAGAGAAGAGTGGGCCCCTGCAGCAAGATGCTTCGATTAACCCTTCTAAAGCCTTGTCTTCCTTCACTCCCCTTCTGCAATAGCAGAGAACTGGCTTTGGTCCAGGGTGGGCCAGGAATGGACTGAAGTTGTCTCTATTCAGCATCAGTTAAATGTTACTGTGACCCTTACCTCCCCAAAATTGGCCACACTTTCAGAGAGTAAAGTAAAACTTCTTTCTCTCTGTTCACAAACACTGCCAACAATCCAGCTTTGCCTTTCAATCTTTGTCCTTTCTGTTGCTGCCCAAGTCAGCTGCAGAAATATGTGTGGAAAGGGAACAGGAAAGCAGAAATTTCTTTTTCTTGATTAAATGGATCTCAGTATTGAGTTCCTGATGTAGTCTGCAGTTAGATGTATACAATATTGAGATCCTGCTGTAATTTATGGAAAATGACAACTGCTCAGGGCAAGACCTTCTCTCTGAACTCACATTATCAAAGAAACAGTCGTAGCCATCAGGAGTGGCTTTACTCAGTGCTTCATCCAAAGATTTAATAGTCCTGTAATTAAAAGCTTCATCAAAGCCTATTTTTTTCAGATAGGCAACCTTGTCATCTGAGCCAGCACAGCCAACCACTTTGCAACCCTGCAAGGAAAGGAAAAGAACATTTTTAAGTATCCCCTGACAACACAGGTTGACACTCAAAGAGTGCTGGGTGCAGACCTCACCCTTAAAGTGCAGACATTATCACTATATGAGTTCCTGAGCTCTAGGAAATATTTAACTAGCTTTGCTACATCTTCAAGAGCTTGTTCCGTCCCAAGATCCCAGTGCAGGATGCTTGCCCTACTGATCATTCATAACCTTGTTGCCCTGTCTCCCAGTTGAGCCTCCTGAGGAGCAAGTATGAGCGGTTCAAGTCACGCACCCTAATTTTAGTAAGCTGCCCAACCACAGAGCCCACAGCGCCAGCTGCAGCATTAACCAGCACCGTCTCTCCTGGCTTCATCTTGCAGACCTCCAGCAGTCCAAAATACGCAGTGAGGCTGTGAAGAAAAGGGAAGAATGGCTCAGTGAGGAGTAAAAGATGACAGACTCAGAGATAGGACTTGACCACATTGAATCACAATATCATCACAACCAGAACAAGATTCGGTTTTCCTCATTCTTTATGAAATACAAAAATTAACCCAATCTTCTTACTTTTTTTCTTTATTATAGCTCCTCAAAGAGAGGCACCATAATCTCCAAGGCAAATCTCCTCTGATCTAGAGGGTGGGCCCAACTTCAGGTCTTCTACAGGGTAAGGGCACCCAGAATCACACGTTTCTTATCAGAGTGAACAGGTAACATGCTTGTAGAACAAGACAAGGGTTATACAGATAGGCAGAAAAATCCTGCACAGCAAAATCCAGATGATAGTTGCCTTTTCACCTCAAAACTCACTCTGGCATGCCAACCATTCCAAGAGCTAGAGATTTGGGGAGTGATTCTGGTCAACTGGAAGGACGGAGATGTAGGTTTTTCCCATCAGAAATGAAATGAGTTCTCCAGCCACTGTCAGCCACAACAAAGGCCCCCACTGTGGAAGCAGGATTCTTGCTTTCTACAATCCTGTTTAAAAGAGAGAGAGAAAAAAAAAATACCCTGTCAGAGACAAATCAATATTGATTCTTCAAAGAAATATTTCACATCAGGACATTTAGCCCATGCCTGCTGATGCTGTAGGTGTCAAGTGCCTTTCCTGAAATGTCCACAATCTCTTATTACCAGGGAGACATTGGCCAAGATGATTCCAGACTCAGCTCTGACCACAACAAATCCAATTTTCCCACAAGTGCCAACTCTTTTTTTGACTGTCACCTAGTATGAGTTCAGACTAGGCTTCTGGGAGCTAGAATGCAGGAAGGAGAATGCTGGCAATAAAGCATAGGAGCTGCAGATAGGCTGTAACAAGCAATTCCCTTCTCAGACAACTTACAACCCATTTAAAAAGTTGAAGATCCTGAAGATGGAACCTCTTGGGGTAATGAAACCAGAGAGAAAGCAGTATATAAAAAGAGGGAGAAGTTCATATCAGCAGTGTCTCTTTACCAAATGAAACTTCAACTTCCTTGTCTCAACAGGAAAACTATGTTGGAAAAGGGTAGGTAAGCAGCTTTGAATTATTAGAAACAGTTGGCCTTCTGTTCAGCAGACTTGGTTGTTAATTTACCTCAGGCCTCTGTGTTCCTGCAGAGAAACACAAGAGTCAAAGGCCACAGATGTTCCTAAGCAGCAACTTACAGGCAGCACAGCAGGAACAAGCTGACAAAGGGAAACATCTGTGTAGCTAAATTACCACAAGCTTGCGAAAAAGATTGACTTACAGCCCTTTCGCTGGAGCTGCATTTTTCAGTGACTATATTTTCAGCTGGAGCAGATAGCAGGCATGGTTGTGGGCATGCAATTACTAGTACATCAGGTTTTAAAATGTGAAGTTGGCACCTATGGCAAATACAATAGTTGGTCCTTCATACCTGTAAAATTTGCCTTTGAGACCATTATCACCAGAAATAATGTATAGGTTTTATCAGATGCCTAAGTGCTCTCCAAAAGAGGCAAAAGTGGTTCTTAGAGGAAAAACCGATTCCAACCAATTACATATAAGAATACAGTTGCAGAAGTATGCAGACTCAAGTCAAGAATAGGTAACACAGACTGCAGATGTCTCCAACTTCAGCACATTCCTGTTGAGATCTGCCATATGCATGGTGTCCCAGTTTAAATGAGACAAAGGTCTTTTGCTGAGGATGGATTAGGAGAAAAAGACCCAAACTTCCTTTTCTAGCAATTATAAATCCGAAATTAAGAGGCTCCGATTGAAGGAAAACAAATTATGGAAAAGGGAAAAATAACAGCCCTTTATTAAAGGGTATGTGTGTATTAACAGGAACACGAAAAAAACCAAGTAAAACAACCAAGCAATACCCCTATACCCACCAATAATCCCCTTCCAGAACAAAACCGATAAAACCGGCAAAAGGAAAATTAAATAGTTCAATTTTTAGCACCCTTTGGTGCAGTTCTAGCCACAGCCAGCAGGGGGCACCGTCGGGTCACTGGAGATGCAAAACCTGTAATGTCTTATACCATTCACCAGGTGGCACTGCTGAGTTATCAAAAAAAGTGCAGAACTTGTAATGTTCTCTAGCAGTCACCAGGTGACGCTGTTGGATCACTGGAGGAGTAGAACTTGTAATGTCCAGTACCCGTCACCAGGCGGCGCTGTGAGATCCTTGGTTGCCGCCAGGTGGTGGGGGAGGAGGGGGGAAAGGGGGAGGGAAACAGAAAGTTCTCCCAATGGAAGAAAACTCACAATTTTCAGTTGGTGAGGATTTCGCGGTGGGCCAGGCCCGCAACTAGCAACAGCTGCGCAGAGAACAGCAGCAAAACTCTCCTCCGACAGGAAAAGACAAAGAAGAAACCAGACAGTCTCTCCTCCCTGCTACCGCCTCCCCGCCGGCTCCAGAGCTGAGCTCCAACCCCCCAGAGCTGAGCTCCAACCCCCAA